TCAAGGTCAACGGTGTTCTCTCTGACGAACTTATCACAACAATTGGTACCCCACAAGGGTGTGTCCTCTCTGCGACCCTATTTACCCTGTACACCAATGACTGTATATCTAATTCTCCATCTGTTCACATACTTAAATATGCAGATGATACAGTAATAGTAGGATTGATTGAAAATGAAAATGAACTTGATTACAGAGCTACCATTTCCATGTTCGAAAATTGGTGTAGGGAAAACTATTTACTGCTGAACTCAAAGAAAACAAAAGAAATTGTTTTTGACTTTAGGCAAAAGAAAGCTTTTGAACCCATTGATAGACCTGTATACTTTAATGATGATACTATTGAGAATGTTGACAGTTATAGATACCTAGGTACAGAAATCGACAATAAGCTGTCTTGGGAAGACAAGTCAAAGCGCACACTAACAAAATGCAACCAGCGCTTATATTTTCTTAGAAAGTTAAAGTACTTTCATGTGAACGACAGAATTCTGTTTCTCTTTTACCAGTCGATAATCCAGAGTACTATTACATTTGATTCCATTATCTGGTTTAACAATGCAAGGCAAAGTGACAAACAAAAGCTGAGAAGGGTTGTAAAACAAGCCAGCAAAATAATGAACCATACTGTTGACCTAGATGAAGTCTGTAAGGAAAGAGTAGTATCTAAGGCCCTATCCATTATGTCTGATCTTACCCACCCCCTTAATGACCAGTACATACACCTGAGGAGCGGACGAAGATTGAGATCTATTAAAGCAAGAACTAGTCGCCGCATTAATTCATTCATACCACTTTCCATAAGAGTAGTTAATGAAACCCAGTAAAGAATAGAGAATGTGAAAACCATGCAAAATACCCTCATTGACATGTTACACGAATATATATATTGTTTTAGTATACTTACTTTACTGTTGTACCTCTACTGTTATACCATATCAAGAAATAATTTTTAACACAAAATACCTACTTTAGATTAGAGCATATAAGAATTTAAAAAATGGAGGGTATGTAAGAAGAAAGAGAAGAAGAAGAAGAAGAAGAAGAAGAAGAAGAAAGAGTATTTAAATGTATATTCATCATGACCATGTATATTATATCAAATGTATACTAAAACAGGGCCCTATGAATGTCAATTATATGTTGTTCCTATGTTCATTTATATGTTGAAGCAAGATTGTTCATGTGCATATAAACAATTATCCTATATGGACTCAATAAAGAAATGAAATGAAATGAAATGAAATGAAATAACAAAATCAAAGACTGATAATACAAAAATAGAATGATAAATCGGTTGGATAGTCCATTTCAGAGCCATTAACCTAATGGCTCTGTAGCCTCTGTTCTTCCATGGAGTAATGCACATTATCTAACCGAAACTTTGTCTAAACAGTACTCTAACTGGGTCGCATGAGGTACACAGGAACTTTAAAAAAAATTGTTTTCTGCAACGTGTTTTGGAATCCCACAAAGCTGTAAACCTGATATTAGTAAGCTTGCCACTAATTCTACTTGATCGTACTTGTCAGATCTTGATAGAAATCTTCTTATTTCCAACACATTCCGTCTAACTCGTTTCCAAATCTTTCCCCCGATTGATACCTCTTAAATAGCCAGTGCTCGGTTTAATTTGCATTTTGATTGCATTCTCGTGTTTCCAACGTGCGTATGTGGGATCCGCATCATAAATATTTCATTTAAATGGAATGGAAAAGCCCGGAAAGCGTTTAGAATTATCAGTACGGAGGATAATTATCTCTTCCTTCTGCTTGCCTCCTATATTTTACGATCTTCATCTTAAAGATAAAGTTGAGTTCTGGTCACGCGATTGCATTGTGAAAGAAACGGAGTGGAATAGATTTGAAAAGTTGATCATGTATAGCATATAAGTATTGGTGCGTAATGCAAGGTTCTGGAGTCATGAAAATGATAGAAAATTTGGCCCAGTCTTGGTAAAGTAACAAGCTACTGGACACATATAGCACTGTGGTCCCATATACATATTGGACTACACAAAAATGTGATATAAAAATCGGGCCTCATTTTTAAGCTGTTTCTTGTCATATATAGAATATGAAGGCATTCGAAGAGCCATGATTTTCAGGGAACATTGTTTTTCTCATGTCCCTCCACACTTGCATAATCACAATGATAACGCTCACAAATTTTTCACCTCTCCGAGTCCCCAGAACTCAACCTTCTCTTTAAAACCCGCTAAAGTGTTGGGAGCCCCAGATCTTCCCTAAAACCTTATCTCAAAATGTCACTTCAAATTTATAATGACGTGAAAGAGGATGTCATTTAACAACCACTTGTGCAAGGGTTTTCAAAGCAAATGTGTCTAAAGACAAATATTAATGAAAGAATGCACAATTTTAGTATTCTGCGTACAACAGAAAATCCAAATTGTGTACTATTTCATCAATATTTTGATGGGGTTAAACCCCACATTAGTATTTTAATGTGTGTATTTTTGTGGAACCCCCCCCCCCCCCCCCCCCCCCCCACTGAGCGACTTTTTGGCCGGTGCGATTTTCAAATTTTCAATTCTCTGAGAAGGAGCTCTTTCTGACATGTTAACTTTAGGGCATTACTTCAAGATTATGTTTAAGGTAACGCTGATGATTTTGGAAGAGGAGGGAGGGGGAGGCGGAGCAAAAATAAAAACATTTCATTTCAGTATAACAACAAATTCAAATTCAAGTTCATTGATACAAATCCACAAGGTCGGATTATCATCATACACGAACAACAAGACACAAGGACAAAATACATACATTGGTACACAATCCATACATTAGGTCAGAATACACCTGGTTGTAAGTAAATTCTTTTATTTATTTTATTTATTTATTAGACTTATTTTAGTAGGGTGGCTCCATCCGTAGTTAAATACTGTTTTCCGTGGAGGCCCTACAAATTAAAGATCATAAAGTAACATCAAATCAACATGCCATAAGTGCACAATACGGGAGTACTTAATTACTACAATTATAACAATTTTCACGTTCCGTTGCCATAAAATGGAGATGTACATGTATGTTGTGAAAAATAGCACATTTGGTACAAGGAATCGTAAGAGTATTCTTTCATCTCAGAGTGGGCATTTTTTCATTGCTGGCTGTAAACTTAAGAGTTGACCTTCCCCCCAAATGGCTTTGTCTAAATGTTGTCGAGATTTTGTCTTTAATGAAAGAAAATTGATCGGATTCAATAGCAGTATCATTACACATGTTGCAGGCGGTGATAACTGACCTTCAAATGCTTTTCAACCTAACTTAAAGATAAAGACCAGTTATGGTCATGCGATTGCAATTGTGAAAGAAACGTTGTGGAATCGATCAGAAAAGGTTGATCATCTAGCATATAAGTATTGGTGTGTACTGCAAGGTTCTGGAATCATCAAAATGATAAGATATTTGGCCCAGTCTTCGTAAAGTTACAAGCACTGTACACAGAAAGATGTATATGGGACTACGCACACGTGCGCGACACGTGCGTTTATCTCTCACAGTCCAATAGATAAACTAATTCACCAATTATATTAGTAGGCGGTTTCCCGGCAAAATTTTTATCATCATGTAGTAGTCAAAACATATTCTTTCACATGATTGGTAATAAGAGCTTCCATTTCATTTTTTGAAATTGGGGCGTTTCCAATACTGGTCTTTACCTTTAAATATTAATTTACGATTTTCTCCTCCTTATGTTTTTTTTGTATGTTGGTGGTGGTGGAGGGGAGGGACTCCTTCCACTTTTAAATACATCATTGGTGGTATTCATTTTCATTTATTAGATTAAACGACAGTTGTAATGATAAAGTAATTGACGCAAAATAATAAATGTGCCTATTAAAAAAATATTGATTTACAATGGAGGGTGTATCGAAGTCATTATCTACCTTAATTTTCACCGTCCAAATTGAGAACGACTGCGAAAAGATCCGGAGTGACGACTTCTTTACCTTCAGTTACTTCAATCCAAGATTTGATCCGTTTGTATAACAATAGTTTTTTATGATTGCATTATACTTTGAAACAAATTAAATTGTAATTTTTCTCTTTTATTACATGTTTATATTCCTTAGTATATAATTAGTTCATAATTCTGAGGTCTGATATTTTACAAAGTCAGTTAATGCATTATTTTATGACATGAACTATGCGATGCATATATATTTCTAGTGTTCACCTTATAATATTCATAGTTGTTATGCAATGTACCTTTGTATTTGATCAGTATGTACATAATGGTTTTTCCTTTCTTTATATCTGTACCCTTTCATCCCCCCTCTCTCTCTCTTTATCTCTCTCTCTCTCCTGTTTTCCCATCTTTCTGAATATTTGATCTCCATTTCTTTTTTAAGTCAAATGTTTAAATTGTAATATTGTATAAGTTTAATGGTATATATATATGTATATATATATAGTATACATATACACGCTCTTCATAATTATGTATATTATAGTGTGATATCTCTTGAAACGTACACTTGTCTTTTCCACCAATTATTTACTCATGTGCAATTCAGTTACTTGTTACTGTGATATCTCTTGAAATGTATAATTGTATAATTATCATCAATGTTTTATTCATGCGCAATGCAGTTACTTGTAACTGCGATACATGGAAATGAATCAATTAATACCATTTATCTCTATCTAACTATCTACATAAATATCTGATAATTGATGATGAAATTTCGATCGTACAAGTACTAAATTACGTAGACATTAAGATTGATTGACCAAGGTTTGAAAATCGATATTTTTGCCAATTATTTTATAAATTAGACTTAGTTCTTTCTTGTTGCATTTATAAAAACCTTTCTAAATTAAGTCTGTGCTGGCATAATGAAGGCCTAGCGCTAAGTTTTGAATTTGAGAAGGTAATTCGTCCTTGTTTTCACGAAGTGACGGTAGTGAGGAAAATCGTAACGCAAAGTGAATGCAATTTTTTTTCACTACCGTCACTTCGTGAAAACAGCGACGAATTATTGTTATCTTAGAGTACTCTGTTTTAAAAATGACTCGCATTGAAATAATTTACACCAATAACAAACTATTTTCTCTTATCAAATATAAATCTTTTATTCATAATCCAGAATAGATAATATGCATTTCAACAATACTGCATCATATCAATTTGTAGAAAATAACACTAAAATCAGTATTAGCACAAAATTCAGTTGTGAATTAAAACATAGAAATATGAAGAAAAAAATTCATGTGATTTCATCAACTATCGCTCACAGATAAATAAGATGATCTTCTTCTTGATTAAGGTTGTAGTTTCATTTATCTTCAGACTTTCAGGTAATCTTAATTTACAAACTTGGAGTTGTCAAATACAAATATAAGCAAAGGCCTTCATAGAAAGACATTTGCTATCATCTAAAGATTTTCTTTTAAATTGTTTATTGATTTGAGCGATTAATTTTCCATATAAGACCCACCACTATTCCTCTGAAGACATGTGTTAAGCTTTATTGATTTTTATTGGGGGTAGCGCCAAAATAATATATCTCCACTACCAATGCTCTTAAATCTATTTATTAATTCTAAAAATGTTTCTGGTTAAGAACTTTAGCATGAGCTTCTAGTCCGGCCAATGGTACCTTTTTATTTATAAATCCAATAGATCATGTTTATTTGTTCCTATGTTTCATTAAACCTTGCCCTTACTTATTTCCAATGAATCACAGGTCCAAGATAAAGGTGGGGAGGGGGGGGGGGCAAAGTCTGACATGCAACCACAACAAAAAAGGTTTCATATTTCAGGTGCCCTTTTGGTATAGGCTTGCGATTGTAATTTTAGCTCCCTCTCCTGGATCCTTCGCTTGGACCAACGGGACCAATAATTACCTGGACGAAGGAGGATATTTAGTAGGACGTAGAACCACAAGGACATAAGACAACTGAGATAGACAGGACCAATTGTGCATGATCCATTGACCGGGCATTAATTTCATTGATGGCGTTCAACAGGTTTCTTGTCTTTTTTTATTCCAAGAACATCTAGTAATGAATGCTAATACTGGTCCTTCTACTACTACTTCTGCTACTAATAAATCCTACAACAGCTACAGCTTCTTCTGATGCGCCTATTTCTTTTTTTTTCTTCCTTTAAAGACCTTATCCGATGAAAATACAACTTTATCTACCAATGGGAAGCTGAATGAACATAGAATACCAATATAAAGGAATAAACAAATAATTGCCTTCTCGGTATTGCACATAAGCAAATCAAAACCTCTTTTTCTGCACCCCTCCAAAATAGCATACAATTGATATTATTGTACTCTGTCTTATATAAGCTTTCTGTTGATATATAATTCATCTATTTCATTTTCACATCCGACAGGGTCTTTAGCTTCCTCTTCCTCTTATCCTATTCTTCTCGTCTTTCTTCGATTTATAATTTTATTCTGTTCACTACAAGTACCATAACTTTTCACTTGGCTTGCTATTTTGGTCACTATATATAGCTCCCCTAATTCCTCTTTTCAATATTAATCACCATTTCAAAGTATTCTTTAAAAATATATTTTGAAAATAATGAATATAAATTTAAACCCTTTTTATTTTTAGCTTACCTGGTTACACGGAATAAAAAGTGTTTGACATTAGCATGTATAGTACATTTAATGTACATATGTTATAGTATTCTAATATTACGGGGCAATTAAATAAAGTTTCAGATATTTATTTTCAATCGAAGGTTATGTGAAATAAACGATTAAAATGAATGCAAATCCAAAGCTTAAATCCTATGATTGGGTGGGTGATTGCGTTAATACAGGTGTTCACATGTGTCTATGTTTGTACACATTATTTAGATATAATATAAAATCATAAGATAATGATAAAAAAACTCCTTCGGAGATTCATATAAACTTTGATAAAAAAAAAACTACCTGACGAGCCGTTTTCTGAAATACTGTGGCAAGATATGTTGAACAATTCGTATTTCAAATTTACACAACAATGAAATAGTCCGTCGTAGGATTTTGCCCTTTTTTCTTCAGAATTACATACTTTATCGATTACGCATTCTGGTGTTTCGGCTCAGGTTTTCCCAGTATTTATCTGCAGTGATAACCGAATATATCTAAACGTGAAATGATATTATCACATCGCTACTTCATCCGATTAATACATAATTAGTATTCAACTGTTCCTGTCTTCGTGTTATCCTTGACGTTTCTTTTCTCTCATGATAGCTCGTTATGTTAACAATGACCTAGATTTATAAGCTAGCGAAACGAGCGAACAAAATGTTTCTTCTAAGATCTGGTAAACATTATGCATCAAGTTGTGTGGTTATATTGTACCAATTGAGGTATATTAGGCAGGATTATGACCACAGTTCCGCCTGAATATGAGTTCATAGTTGCAGCCTGCAGAGTGCAGAACACCCCCACCCTACCCCACCTCATATTCTTACATTTATATGTAAATGAAGAGCGATTCACGGACAAGGCCATTAAGGGCCACATGATTCTCAGTCTAAATTGCCATGCAATTTTCTGCAAATCATGACGAATTGCACAATATGATTGCACAATATGATTGCCCATTTTCAGTTTTGCAGTAAAAAAAAAAAATCATAAGGCAACAAGTAATGAATGCTCTTTCACTGCTGAAAAATATCAATGTTAGTCTTGTGCAGTACAAAAATAATAAATGGATATAAATGTGCAGAAAACAAATACAATTATCATCGTCTCGTCGTAATACCCGTCTCTGGGTCTCGCTCCACTTGTTGGCCTGGTAGTCCCACGCCATTTTTCTTGAGTTTGTTCCTAGAGCGTGTCTTGGACCGATTTGAGCCGTTGCTACCCAGCTTGCCCGTCCTCCATCCGCAGAGCAGACGACTAAAACCCAACCGAAACTTTCGATTCATCAACCCATAGATCACTGGGTTAACGGCACTACTCAAGAACATCATAAAAACTGCAAACTTATCGACCTGTGCGGGAATTTCCACGTTTAGTACTGCGATGAAACTGACGATGGTTACGGGTGCCCAGCAAAGAACGAACGAGATCAGGACGGCGCAAACCATCAGCGTCACTCTTAATTCGTCATTATTCGATGCAGATGTCGAGTTTTGTGATGTAAGTGTCTGTGAACGGTCCCGCGCTGATGAAGGACGAAACGAATGTCGTAGAGATCGTACCGATAACCTGCGGACGTTGTTATTGTTAACTCTATCAACGTCGTAATATCCCGCCGTTTTGGGTCGTTCCTGCGCTGAAGACGGTATCGGACGTAAATCGCGGCTCGTCTGGTTAAACCGTTCGGCGTTCAAGGCTGTCTGTACTTGGAGAATGTTTTGTCCTCTGCTGCTTTCGGCCAACGCAAGGCTCAAAGCTCCGACAGGGCTGGTCTCAAAATTGATGGGAGTAGTTTTGGGCTCCTCCACCGATGTAAGCTGAATTGCAACTTTTCCCGATGCTCCTCTGAGCTCGCGTCTTTTGTAAAGTCTGGATGCCCGGATGCCATCTTCAGTAGATTGCAAGTCACCTGGTGCATTCGGCCCGGCAGTATAGGTAGTGTCCTGCACCAGGTAATCGGATATCCGTCCTTTTGATTCCAGAGTAGGTGATTTGACACTTCCCCTCTCTGATTCTTCCTCGTCCTCGTGGTGATCTAAAGTGCTAGCAGATGCACATGGGCTAATGGTTAAGATATCACGATCAAGTGACATCTGACGGGCTAGACTCGATGCAAACAGACTGCGACCATTACCGCCAATCTCGCTTGAAATATCACTAACAGTCCGCATAACCGGAGTCCTTCCATTCAAGGAAGGGGCATTGTGCATTCGGTTCTGTCTGCCCAAGTGACCGTTCGCTGGCGGCAACTGCAGATGCTGCGAACCAAATTCATTCCTGATAGAACCCGCGTTGTTGAAACGACTTTGCCGACTGCCATTTGACCACGAAGATCTAGCGAAACTTCCCCTGCTCCCCATCTGACCGCTGACATCAGTAGGCCTGCGCGATGACCCTGCTCCGCCCTCTGACCTTGGGTACACCTTTCCGCTTCCGCGGTGTGACCGCATCCTGCGGAAGTTGGCCCGGACCGTTCGGAAGATTCGGAAGTAGGAGACGAAGATGACGATGAAGGGGAAGAAAATCCCGAGAGAGAAGACGAAGACGGTGTAAGAGATGTTCGTCGACCACTTCAGCGTGCAGATTGCTCTGTCAGAGACGAACTCGTAACTTGACCATCCTAGGGCTGGTGGAAGCGCAAACAACATCGAAACAAACCACACTCCTGTAAATCAGAAGAGAAAAGAACAAAGTGACATGAACGTATTTTACATCATTTGTATCAATTATAGTTATAACAGTGGTGGCATGGTAATAGTCCAACGAATGAACGGTATAATAAAATGTTTTTGGAAGGTCGCATTAAGTGAAATGTGATAGCCAAAATGTAATAAAAAATCATAGTTAGACAATTGTTAAACAGTTCGCCGCCCAAAAAAATATCAATCATTTATCAGCAAAAAGGGCCGTTGGAATTTAATCTGAACAGCAGGAACGATAAAAGAAAAGTCCCTTCCGATGAAGAAATTCGCCGACAAGGTTAAGACTAAATCATCCAAATTGCAAGCGAAGATGCCGTTGCAGATAACAATTCAAATATTTTCTGTTAAGAATGTCGAGTTGAGAGAGGGAAAAATGCCCAATGCCTTATACTCTCTCGCACGATGCTCAAGTGAGCTCGTCTAATTCAACCACATCGTGTAGGCAGGTCATACATCTCAGTCTCATATTAACAAGTTTCAAAGTGAGTCGGTCTCAAACAAACGTAAGAATTGGTTGGTTCAGTGGCGTAGCATGGGTCAACATATTGAAGGGGCACTGAAACGAAAAAGAAGGGGGAGGCCAGGCACCGTTCATACTCGTTAAATAGAATGCAGATTAACAAGGCTAATGATAAGGGGTACGGAAGGTTGTCCGGGCGTCTTCTTTTCTCTATGAATCCTTTCCCTTACTCTCTTTTTAAATCCTTGATGGGGGGGGGGGGACACATGCCCTACGTCACTGATCTAACATTTTCCATTACAAGAGAAATCGTAAGAACGTTTCGAAATAACGAGGGTGGGTTGGGAATACGATTTGAAAAACAACATTGAAACTTTTAGGCCACAAACTCTTGAATTTGCCGAAGGACTCTTGAGTTCCTTCTCGTGAGTTCACCCAAATACTAGAGCCATCCATATTCACCGTCTCAACCAATTGCTTTTTCTCTACGACACGTGACGTGAAAGATAAGAAGAACAGATAGACGGTAGATCCCGGTCACGTTTTTTTGGATGTGTTCTTGTAAATTGTGAACGTTTTTAGACTCGCCTTTGGATACAGTTTCTTTTTTCAGAACAATGAAGACGGTAGATTCCGGTCACGTTTTTTGGATGCGTTCTTGTAAATTGTAAACATTTTAGACTCGCCTTTGGATACCGTTCCTTTTTTCAGAACAATGATGACAAAATAATGAATGCATTACTCATATTACTGATTTAAGTTTTATTTATCATTAAGGATTGTACGACGCACGTCTCCCGGCACGATTGCTGTAACCTGGACCCAATATTATACTTAAGCTAATTAAAAATCTTATTTTATAATTAACAGGCCTTCTTACTCAAATCAAGAAGTCGCAGTCGAAGTTGAGCCCAAAATGTCTGCTTAACAAACAGGAAGAAAGGGGAATTTAATGTTTTTTACCATTTTATAAGACTCTAAACCTGAGCTCTAATTCTAAACAACAATAAGCTTATAATGTGCTACCATGTTATTGCCGATTTTAGAAAACACCGTGTTTTGGAATAAAAAGGTGTTACAAATGCCACATTTGGGCTTTTAAAAAGCCCTAAAATCCACCAGTTTCGGGCTTGGCACCTGGACCCAACCCGTTGTAGACTCTGTCGCTACACTCTAAAAACTGAAATGGTAAATCACCATTTAAAAGGGCCGAGGAGTGACCACTCTTTCAAAATGGTAGATTAACACTTTGAATATGCTGGATCCAACACTATAAAGGTTGGATCTAGCAGGTTAAAAGAAACAATCTGACATTTTTAAAAAGTGGTCACTCCTCGGCCCTTTTAAATTGACATTTAACATTTTAGTTTTTAGAGTGTACGCTCCCTCGCAGCAGTGGGACCGTGCATACAGGTTGGCACTTCAACTTCAATACAATTTTAATCTTGGCACTTATAATAAACTGGTTGAGAAACTGAAAGCTCAATCGCATCCCTAATACCAGGCCTTTGCTATTGAGCCCGGAGCAAAAGTTGTCGGAGCAAATGAGGAGCTTTTATAAGTTCTTGCTTCTTTGTATTGACCAACATTTCTGCAAATTTGGTACGACACACTCCGATTAAATATGGCAATTGGTTAAATGCCACTCATTTTTGTTCTTCAAAAAAGCTCTCATATGGGGAGTACACAGTCAGGAGGACTAAAAATGACCTTGCAACTGATTCTTCAAAGTTTCCAGCTAAAATGTACTTTCAAGGGAACTATATAATTATGTCATGCTACGCTATCTCCCCCTCCCCACCCCTCTCCCTACCATGTCAGGCTATTATGTGTCTCTTCTGTCTCCCTTATTCTCCTACCTCCTCTCCCCCCCCCCCCTCTCTCTCTCCCTTCCATCCGTCTATCACTGTCTACCTCCCCCTTGTCTCTACCCCCTCTCTCATTCTCCATCTCCCCTCTCTCCCTTTCTCCATCTCCCATCTCTCCCTTTCTTAAAATAAAAAATAAATAAACTAAAGAACCATGCCACATTGACCTCTAGCAGTATTCTGTAAAATGTATAAATTATGCAGCTCAACTCTACTTAATTAAGGTTAATCGGACGCAAATACTAAATCATGAATGAGGGTGTGTAACGAATAAAACAAACTTGGCCTTGAACTTCATCAGTTTCAAGTCAACTTTTCCTGACTTATTTAAATATGAATTTATATTTAATTCCATTTATCTCCATTTTCTCGAGGCGGATGTGCATTGAACTACAGGAAATTGTTCAAGGATTTCCTATTTTCGAGCGTAATGATGATCGATCGCCAAAGGAACCAGCGCAGGTGACATGCAAGGAGTATATATGAACATTGTAAGGTAGAGACAGGGGGGAAGGGTAGATTTAAAATTCGCTTTGCAAGCTGTCGTTTGATTTTCAAAATCACGCCACTGTCTTATCTGTCTCTCTCTGTCTCTCTCTCTCTTTCTCATTCTATCTTTCCTACACCCCTCTTTAAATCCCTATATCTCTTTGTCCCGCCCCACCCCCTCCCCCTTTCTTATCACTTACCTTAGACTTATTATTTACCATCCCCTCTCTCTAGTTATCTCACTATCTAGATGTATAAAATATATCGCGATCCCTTTTTTCTTATCCCTTCTCTCTCTCTCTCTTTCTTTCCCTCCCCCTTGGTATACATAGCATATCGTGATTTTGCATGCAAAGATATAATTACCAAAAGTTTAACCCATCGATCAACAATGCAAATCACATAGAATATGCTTACTATTTATGCGTTTTGTACACAATTTATTGGCAGTTAGTTTTATGTATGTTTCATCGTAGTCATTAGAAGGCTTATATTACAGCATTTTCTCAAATTTAGCCAGTGTTTTTTTTTTTTGGGGGGGGGGGGGAGGTGGGGTGTGACTTCTGAATTGCCCTTTTTAAATTCCTATAAATGGACATGTTTCATTGTCATGATTTTTAAAAAATCTACTGTACCATTAATCTTGTAAAAGACTGTCGAATTTAATAATGAATGATTGCTGTTTAACATTATCTTTTGAATGCATAAGTCACTTTTCTCCTTTTCAGTGATCATTGAACTACTATAATGTCAAAGTTCATTTTAAACCCTTATTTCACGTTTTCTTGTATTTTACTGTAAATATGACAATTTTTGTCTCTGGACTTTTGCTATGTTCTTTTTTTTTTCTTCTTCTGTTTTACTACAATAAAAACCGAAATTCAAATGAATTGAATTTTGAATATCACAAAGACATTATACCGATTAAACAACTTTCTATTTTTTTTGTCTGAATTCATTCAGACTTTCACGAGTCTGCTTCTCATATTTTTCTGCTTTCCTCTAGAGTAGTTTGCTATCAAGGTTGGATTTCTCTTTGAACAAATCAAACTCAGTTAATTGGTTTCGATAAACAGCATGAACAGAATCAACGAATGGAGAGGTATAATCATTCATCATGAATCATGATTTACGATTGAAACGTGTACAACTGAGTAAACCCGACAGTAATTAGTATTAATGATATTGTTTCTGTGTATTTGAACGTACTTAACGATGTAACCGTTAATGATCGTGTATCTTAACAGAGTTCTGGTGGCGAAGCCAGAGTCCACCTACTGAGGGGGCACTAGAACGATGGGGTGGGGGTGCACCGGTCTTACTCGTAAAATTAAATGCGAATTTGATTAGGGGGAGGGTGCGGGAGGTGGTCCAGGCAGCCTATTTTATCGTACTTTCCCATTCTCCCTTTACCTTCATCTCTTTCTTAGTTTAAAACAAATATTTTCACCACTATGTACTCCCTGTAGCTACGCACCACGAGCTCCTCTTTCATTAATTGAACATCTCTCACATATCATTTTACCAAAGCTGTTTATCTGTTACATGTATTTCTATTCCCAAGAACCTTAAGGATGAATACGATAGCATCATAAACAGCTCTGGGAGATAACTATACCTTCCATGATCATGGGATAAGGATGTGGCCTGCATTCCAGAGTAGCGTAAATCCACTATTCTTTTGTTTCTTCTAAAGTGTGATTACTTATCTTCTTCTCCTTGAAATTGTATCGCCGTGATACAAATCTTTGAGCTTAACTGTCTTTCAAGGTAACCGATGAAAAGGTATAATAACAGCACTTGTGGGACTGTTGCGCAAGTACTGCCAATTACAATTTTTAAAGGACATCAAAATAGTCAATAAAAACTTTACCTAATAAATATTTTTATTCCAAAATTATAGATATTTAAGGGCGAAAAAAGACCTTGCATTTTTTTTCTTTTCGACATTAAAAAAGAAATTTGTTTAAATACTTGTGGTCATTTTTATCTACCTGTATTTCCAAATTGACTTATGAAAAGAGAAAGATCTTTCAAGACAGTAAACCTTGGCCATTTTCGTTTAAACCTTCCATTATTAACTTTAATTTATTTATTGGTATCTTTTTATGCTTAATCCATCCCCTCCCAATCACACTTAACGATATTTGATATGTTGATTGGTCATTTTCAGACAGACGTATCAGTTTTACTGAGTTAGTAGAGATTAGTTAAAAGAC